TGGCAGACTCTCAACCACTGCGCCACCAGGGAAGCCCCCTCCTAAAACTTTCGATCATTCAGTTCAACACACATTTTCCAACATCAAATATGTACTGGTCACAGTGCTGGCAGAACAGGAAATGCAGGGATGAAAGAACAACTTGGGGCACTGGGGGAAGCTGTGACACTTGAGATCCTGAACTATTTGTCCACAAAGTAGTGACACAGTGCCTGAGCCTAGTAACACCACAGGGCTTACAAAGAGGCAGATCCCTGGACAGTTCCAGGCAATAATAAATTAGACGTGGTCTGAAAAGGACATGCATCCAAGCCTCCATATACTCGGGTGGCTCTACAAATTCCAAATATCTCTTTCCTCCCAGCCCTAGTTGCTATTCCCCAGCAGCTCCTCAATTTGCAAGAGTTGCAGGCTCTCTTTGCCTGGCTCTGTAAGGCTAAGGAAAGGGTGGTTCCCGCCCCCCACCTGCATACCTAGACAGGATGTTCAGCAATTCGCTCCTCCGTCTGTTTTTATTTGTTATGCACTGGCACTCTGTGGGTATTTTATAAATCGCTAATGTTTGCAGAATTTGGTTCTCTGGCTGCTTCCCCGCCTCTTCCCTCACTCCCCGACTTCAACTGCCAGTGTAACGGCTGTTTTTCCCCTCATATCTGAACACTGGCTCAAGCTTCCTCTTTTAAATTACTTCTGCTGTCAGCTCATTTAGTGGCATCGCTCATCCACAGGCCTGGGGTTTGCTTTTTTTTTTAAAGTTTCTTTCTTCAACAAAACCTTGAAGATAGGGTCCCAGACTGATCACACTGTGTTCTGGTCATTTGCCACTTGCATCTTGAATGTATTTCATCAGCAATATGCTTTTTCTACTGCCTCTTCATCTCCACAGATTTGTGAAGTGTTCTGTATTGCGGTATATGAGATGGGGTGAAAAGGGGCGGAGGGTACCTTGCCATTGGTTCTGATTTCTCTATTGAGTTTCCACGTTTGTCTTCAGTGGGTTCACTGAGCTTGGGAAAAACAGCAATCAAAGCAACTAAGTATCCGTGAGATATAAGCAAAGCAAAACAGTTAAACCCTACAAAGATGAATCGTGTTTAAAAAGAAAATCAAATGATTTACTCATAGCAAGAAATTAAAAAGTCGACTAGAAAAGGAACAGTGAAGTTCGAGAAGGAAATGCTGACAGCTAAATTACCCTTCAAGTAAAGAGAGATAATCCTCCTGCCAGGCCTAGAAGAGGGGCCATTCATGCCAGAGCTCGAATTTAAATTCTGACAGCCTTGTATGGACATTCGGCCCATTATTCTCTTTCCTGTATTTAGTTATTGGTTCATTCTTCATTGCAATAAATGTTTGGATACATTCAGCCAGAGGCTTTTTGGATGATGAGCACATTTCTACAAAGCAGAAAAAATAAACATGATATGGTTGCTGCCTATTTCCAGAACCCCATGTGGCTGTTCTTAGAGGGAGCTGTCTACCTCTGGAGGCCAGCTTCCCATTTGAAAAGGTGTGTCCTGAGACCAGCTTTCTAAATCAATTACAAAATTCCAATCTCATTCTGTCACTCACTTCAGCTTTGTAAGAAAAGAAAGGGAAATTTTTAACGACTCTGGAAACTTCCATATGCATAAAAGCTACAACCAGCAAATATACATTTTCTTTTTTGGCAGATGACTCCGGTAAATAAGGTAAACCACTAATAACCCTTTTCAGAGCGCAGGAAAGATTATTCCCAAATATATTGAGAGGAATCATATTGAGCAGCTTGACGTCCAGACAGATCTTTAGAGAGAGCCCTGCCAAGAACAAAAAATAAATAAATAAATAAAACTGCCCACAAGGGGAAAGAAAAAATTGCCCACAAGGAAAAAATACACCTGAACAAATCAAAATCCGAGTCTGCGCCAGAGTTTTAATCTGATGCATTCTATGCTGCACGCTTTTATAATTTGCTTGCGTTCCAATTCTTCTCAAAAGTTGATATAAATTTGATCAGTCCTTTTTTAAAGCAGGTGTGTTAATGACTGCATTTGCCATGGTTAGCAAATTTTTGCTGTAAAGGGCCAGATAATCAGTATTTTCAGCTTTACTGGCCATATTATCTCTCTGGCAACTATAAACTCTTCGTTGTAATGAGGAAGGAGCCATAGACAACAGTAAACATATGAGTAGTCTATGTGCCAATAAAACTTTATTTATAAAAACAAGGTGGCATAGGAGCCACCTATGTAGCATAGGAGCTATAGTTTCCTGAGCCCTGCTCTTGGGAATAAGGTGGTAGGGTATGACCAAGAGCAAGCCAGCCACTTCCGCTTCCCAGGGTATGGGCTTCCTGGTTCCAGACGTAAGCAGTATGTACCACCTGGGGAAGATGAGCTCAGTCTATGGGGAAAACCACTCATTTTGGAAGTCTAGACTTCCTGAGCTGTCTGACAACCATGACACATCACAGCATTATTTCATCTCTCGCTCACTTACAATGAGTCACTGCTTGATTTGCAAATTTCCCTACTTCAATGATAATATTGAAAGCTCACTAATATTAGTCACGCAAGAAGCTGCCCCTAAAGCTGGGAGAGGAAATTACTTTACAGTTTTAATTTCAGACTATAAACTAGAATGACTATGTATCAGATGGTTTTTAATGCTGCCTTTGGTACTAACACAAACAAGAATGTTCACTTTCAAGTTATGTTGTTCTCCATAGCAGAATATTGCCTGGAGCCTTGCATCAAGAGACAAACAGATATGCCCTACAATACAGAAGACAAGACATTGGCTCTGGACTCAGAGAGATCTGGGTTCTAACCTCTTCTCTGCCATTTACTACCAATGAAATCTGGCAAGTTATTCAACCTCTCTGAGTTCATTTCCCTGATTGCAGAATTATGCAATAAGCTCTGCCCTGGCTCTCTCTCTCTCTCTCTACCTCAAAGGATTATTGGCCAAGAATTAGGGTGTTGGGGACAGAGGGCTGTGAAAAGAGATAATGGCTAAGGACTAGCTCTGTCCATTGTACGGTGCTCCTCACACAAGAAGTGTTATAACTTTTGAGCCTGGAATCAGCCATTAGACTCGAGAGTCCCTCCACTTTCATTGCATCAATTTGTGCCTCTGGTGTGATCCTCAGAGTAGATTTACCCGTTGAAAAGCTATCTGGTCTCATGGATTAAGTTCACTGAGGAGCATCCTGATGACCAGGTATTGACACTGAGACATATTAGAACTCAGTTTACCTGCACCATTTCCTATCTTCAGCTCTTATGGCAAAAATCACTGACTAACTTGAGGTAGAAAAAACAGGCAGGCAGGTGATGCAGGCTCAGTGAGGGGTCACCTCTTCCCCCATTCTGAACCCTTTCGTCTTTCTTACATTCTACCCTGGAAATCTACAGAAGAATGGTGCACTCCACCATTCTCTTGGTGACTAATTTATCCCTAGGCCAGACATTCTTCTCACAAGGAGATTTTTCTCAATTTAAGATGTCCCCGTCTTGATATTTCCACCCCTCCTGATTATAAAAATCATTTATTTCTTGCCATGATATTGTGTCTTTGCAACGGTCAGAGGCAATTGGTCAGTCTGAGACAGGCCCAGGGCATGAAGTAGAATTTATCAAAAATATCCTGTAGAGAAGAAAATGTAATTTAAATGGGGTGAGCAGTGGGGATGCCAACCCTGATCCTAGATGATAAAACTATTATCAAGGTATCTATTTCTTACCCAACTAATATCACTTCTAAGATTTATATAATTCCCAAGCAAAATTCCAATGCAGGGGGAGTATTTTGTCTTATATACCTTGACAAGATTATTCTAAAGTTCATACAGATGAATAAACAGGTGAAACAAGTTGAGGAAAGTTTTAAAATGAAGAGTGATGAACAGATGCTTGACCTAACATTTCTAATTTTAAAATTGTAATACTCACATATGAAATAAAAATTGAAATCCAGATGAATGGAAATAGTTTCACACTGAAACAGATTCCAGTGTATTTATGGCAAAGTATCAAAGCTAAATGGTAAAGGTACACCTTAAACTTATACAGTGCTGTATGTCAGTTATATCTCAGTAAAACTGAAAGAATAAATAAATATGTACATACCCCCAAAAAATATATATATGGCAAAGGTAAAGATTAAAGATTGAGAACCACCTCTTATAGGTAGCCTTCCTTGGTTATCTCAGTTCTGGATTAAATGTCCATCTTTGGTAATCATATAGTACCCTTTGAATGTTTCCTTTTTTAATGTATTGAAGTATGCCATACAGTTGAGTACAAAGTATAGGGGTCCAACTCAATAAATTTTCACAAAGTGAATACACCAAAGTAGCCAGCAACCAGATCAAGTAATAAAACGCTATCAGAATGTTAGAAGCCCCCTCATTCCCCTTCCAGGGACCATCCCCACCTCTAGCACCAAGGTCTCTGATGGTCACTATTATTCAGACTTCTAACAATGAGATTCATTTTGCCTATTTTGGAACTTTCTATAAATGGATTCATATAATACATACTCTTTTGTGCCTGGCTTCTTTGGTTCAATATTATTTTTGTAAGATTTATCCATGTTGTTGGAGTTCATGTTTTCTCATTGCTGTACAGTGTTCCATTAAGTGAATATACTGTGATATATCTTTCCAATTTATCACAGATGATATTTGTCATGTTTCCATTTGGGGGCTATGTGCAACTACAAACATTCTGGTGCAAGTCTCTTGGTTGAACATATGTGCACATTTCCACTGGTATATGCCTAGTGATGGAGGTACCGGGTCATAAAGTATGTATACTTTTATCTTTAGTAGACAATGCTAAGCAGCTTTCCATAGTGACTGCACCAATTTCCACGCCACCAGCAGTGCATGAGAATTTCCTTTGCTCCACATCCTCACTGACTCTTGATATTATCTGTTCCATTTTAGCCATTCTTGTGGGGTTCTAGGCGTACATCTAAAAGTACTCTGTCATACTTTATCTGGTTACTTGTCTATCTCCATCACACATTTGCAAGAATCCATTCTAAAAAGTTAAGAAACCAAGGCCCCTGGGACTTCCCTGGTGGTCCAGTGGTTGAGACTTTGCCTTCCAATGCAGGGGGTGCGGGTTCGATTCCTGGTCGAGAGCTAAGATTCCCACATCCCTCGCGGCCAAAACATAAAAAAATAAAAAAAATTAAAAAAAAAAGAAACCAAGGCCCAGAGAGGTTGAAAGATATGCCCAAGGTCACAACTTATAATTATCCTTTACAGCACAGAAATCCCTACTGGGCAATGTTAATAGGATCAGGGAAGACAAACTGCCTTCTTTAAAAGAGTTTTAAAAACTACTTCCATATGATTAATACAACTTGCTCATATAACCAGAGTGTCGCTCAGACACGTGTGCAGGCGCATGCGTATACGCACACATTCGGCAATTCTAAATGGAAGGTTTAATTTGGAAACCAACTGCTGTTAGTTAAATGACCCTGCAACAAACAGCCACACATCTCTCCCTTATCTCCCTTTGGTTAAATGTTTTGAAATGAGTTTCAAATGGGGTTGGCTCAAATGACAGCTCTTCATTTCACCTTGTTTCTGCAGATGCCATTTGTGGGAATGTTTTATGGTTCTGTTAATTATCTACGTCAAGAGGTTGTTTTATTGTTTCTAGAGAAGTAGAGTTATAAATGTAAATATTCTGAGGCAGCAAATTGCCTCAGCAAAGTAAAATTAGGAGTTCTTACTACATGAACCAATGCATATATTTAAAATTTGCATTTTTTCAGCTATTACTAATATCCTAAAATATTTTTCAGGCACAGATCAATGCATGGAAAAGCTGAGGCAGATTCTGTGCTTTAAAAGAAGACTGGAAGTCCAAAAGATGGGGATTTGAAACCCAGTTGTAGCATTCAAACAACATTCTTTTTTTTCTCTGGACCTAGGTTTTCTCATCTCTGAAGTGGGAAATTATAATACTAGCTATCCACTAGTGTCGCCGGGGCAAAGCCCATTAACAATTCCTGGGGGGCTTCCCTGGTGGCGCAGTGGTTGAGAGTCCGCCTGCCGATGCAGGGGACACGGGTTTGTGCCCCGGTCCGGGAAGATCCCACATGCCACGGAGCGGCTGGGCCCGTGAGCCATGGCCGCTGGGCCTGCACGTCCGGAGCCTGTGCTCTGCAACGGGAGAGGCCACAACAGTGAGAGGCCCGTGTACCGCAAAAAAAAAAAAAAAAAAAAAAAAAAAAACAATTCCTGGGAAATAAAAATAGAATCTGGGTCATAAAATAAAGTCTAACCTTTTGTGTGTGTGTGTGTGTGTGTGTGTGTGTGTGTGCGTGCGCGCGCACGCTTAGTCTCGTTTCACATGCTCATAGGGGGCCACGTGCAGAAGCCTTGCACCCAGCACTTCAGACCAGAATTCCCAGTGTGAAACGGCTGTGCTGACACCTCAGCTCCGTGAGCAGGACGCTCAATCCTAGATGGCAGCGGTGGGCTGTGTGCGGAGATGCTGCACCCGCACTCCGATCTGGAGCCTGAGCAGCACAGCTGCGCTTGCCCCCCGAGAGCTCTGCCCCCTCCCCGCTGACAAGAACCCTACAAAGCAGCTCCACCACAGCCTGTCGGGGAGAGCATGAACTCTACAGCACGAGCCCATACCTCTCCGTTCTCTGAGCAAAGAATAAAGCTTTCCTTTGCTTCTGAACCAAACTCAGTCTCCATCTACAGGCTCGAATGACATCGGGCAGAACCTCTATTGGGGACCAACTTGGGAGGGTCAGTAACGCTAGTGTTGTTGTGAGGCTCTTACATAAAAAGACCTGGCAATCATAAATGTACAATTATTGCCTACTGATGATTGAGGGCTGAGGAATTCTATCCCATGATGAATGCATAAAAAGCTTGTAGCATAATGGCTGAGAGCTGAAGTCCTGGAGCCGTACTGCCTGGATATATATTCTGACTTCACCCGTTACTAGCTGTGTTTCAGCTTCTGTCTCTATAAAATGGGTAGCCATAGTACCAGTTTCACGGTGTTGTGAAGACTGAGATAATCCATGAAACCTGCTTAGAACAGAACTTGACACACAGTTGAGTAAGGTATAAACATTAGCTGCAAACATGTGTGGGTTTGTCCCAGGGGATGATCAAGTACGTTTACCTTGATGACCAGATAGTGTGGAAAGAAGGCTGATTTCCTTTGTTGCATTTCACTTGTCCCAACCCGGCTGGCACCCCTCCAAGTCTAACATTTCTCCTGCTCTGTTCCTTGAAATGGAAAATAATGCCTTAATTATGAATATAAATGGAATGTTTCTCTCCTAGGTGTCAATAAAAATGATTTTTTTTTTCCTGAGGAAGAAAGTACTCTTTAGCCCTCCTGGCAAATCCCAGCATCACAGCCTTGCTGTGCTCAGCGTGAGGGGCTTGGCCCTTGCCAGGAGCCGCGATGCGTATGCGCCTCAGCAGCTCTGAGCACAGCGAGGGGTCTCAGCACCTCGGGCGGGCGGCAGTGGGAGCAGCTCAGCATCCTGGCACAGACCAGTGCCCACCACGGAGTCTTTACAGAAAGGGTGCCCAAGAGGACCGCCTCTCAGGCCACAGCCACCAAGACGTTGCTTCACACAGGACCATGGCCCCACCACTCCACAGCCTTGCTCCAAAAGGGACGCCTCAATTCTGGCATTGGGAGAAAAGCCTAGATTTTGAAATCAGCCTGACCTGGGTTCAAGTCCCAGCTCCACCAACTTAAAACAACACGATCCCAGACTAGGTTATTTAACCTTTCTGACCATCAGTCTTACCTCAAATGTGATCATGAACAATGAGATAAGGTAAGTTTGTAAAGTTAGGTCTGACAAACGTCAAACGGAGAATTTAATTCAAAGTAGTTAGGACTGACAGTGCCTCGGGTGAGTGGCAGCAATAAATGCAAATATTATTTCAGGCAAACACAGGATTACACCTCAATGATTTCATAAATCAGCAAAGGATTTTACACAGTGTTATGTTGTAAGGTTAAAACCCAGACCCATGGCCAGGCTGAAGAACTCCTTTCCTATTTCCACCCCTTTCTGGCCCAGGTATCTTGGACAAATTATGTCTAGTCTCAGGTCCCACATGTGCAAAATGGCATCATAACAGCACTAGTTTTAAAGGGTTGTTGTGAGAATCAAATGAAATAATTCACATTAAATGCTTACTACTGTATCTGGTGCATGATAAATACCAAATAAATGTTGGTTATTATTGTTTTAAAAAAAAAAAAAGAAAAAGTAGGTTTCTAAAGCACGTCTGCCAGGAGCTGGCACATAGCAGCTATGATTATAATTTTCCAAACCTCAGCACTAATGTATCTGGACCTTTCCACATACGACCTCTACAGGAGCCATGAAAGAAATAGGAGACTCCTGCAAAGAGCTTGGAATGCATCTTTTCTGCTCTTTGGAGCACAGAAGCAATTGGCTGTTTCAGTCCTGAAGGGCCTCACGTGACCTGACCCTCAGTCAATTTAGGCTGCAGGCCACAGGCAGAGAAGGCAAGGCCTCCCTTCACACAGCTTAATTACCTTTCGTCTTTGCTTACAAACAGGCCAGATTTCCTTTTTTTTTTTTAATATTTATTTATTTATTTGGCTGCGCCGGGTCTTAGTTGCAGCACACAGGATCTTCGTTGTGGCATGCAGGATCTTTTTTTCTTTTTTAGTTGCAGCATGTGGGCTCTTAGTTGCAGCATGCAGGATCTAGTTCCCTGACCAGGGATCGAACCCGGGACCTCTTCATTGGAGAGCAGAGCCTTAACCACTGGACCACCAGGGAAGTCCCCAGATTTCTTTCTTTTTTTTTTTTTTTTTTGTGAGGTATGCGGGCCTCTCACTGTTGTGGCCTCTCCCGTTGCGGAGCACAGGCTCCGGACGTGCAGGCTCAGCGGCCATGGCTCACGGGCCCAGCTGCTCCACAGCATGTGGGATCTTCCTGGACCGGGGCACGAACCCGTGTCCCCTGCATCGGCAGGCGGACTTTCAACCTCTGCGCCACCAGGGAAGCCCCCAGATTTCTTTCTTATAGAAGTTTGCTAAAAATGTCAAGAAGCAGCCAACACACTTCAATATTCTGACCTTTTTCAACCACTTCCCCTAGAGGAACAGGCTCGGGAGACACATGGTCTCACTTCCAAGGTTGTCGCAGGCAATAGTTTACTAAACATTTCACCACATGTATCATTAGAAGGGTCACCAGCTTCCTAGACTGCAGTCTCTTCATTTCTGCTGTCCAATTCTCAACACCTGCCCAGGAAGCCAAGATCACATATTGTTAGGGTTTTTACAGCAGTGCTTTATTCCCAGTTCCAATTCCATATTCAAAAGGATTCAGATTTTAGCTATTCTAATATATCAGGAACTGAAACAGGGTACAGGCTCTGAAGTCAGACAGGCTGGTTGCAGTCCAGACTCTACAATTTACTACTGCATGACCTTGGACACTAACTTAAGTGCTCTGAGCCTCAGTTTCTTCATCTGTGAAATGGAGGTGATAATCATATTACCCTCCTCATGCGGTTGTTGTGAGCATTAAATGAGTTGATATTATATAAAGCCCTCTGTGCCAGGCATGTGATAAACTCTCAATAAATATTAGCTCTCATTATTATTAAACACCTAGTTGTTCTGAGCATTGTGCTAGTTTGGGAGAAGATCATGGATAACAGGCTCTGTACACTGTCCCTGGTCTCATGGAGTTTAGAGTATAGAAGCAAACCTATCAAACATATAATTACACAGATAATTATTTATATTGCAAGAATAATAAATGCTATGAAGATGTTCCACATTGTTTACATCCTTGGTAAACTGGGGCTTCTGAACTGAAAGGAGATTTGCTGAGGGGATCAAATGAACACAGAACCAGCATTTGTAACATTCTGCTTGGAAAGTAAACCTAGAAAAAGTCAACTCTGCTCACTCATTTCACTTTATATAATGCTTTAAAGTAGTTCGCATTGCATTTTAACCTCTGTATAGAGGCAGGATAGTATTGTGATTAAGAACAGCCTCAGCAATCAGACTGCCTGAGTTCAAACTCAAGCTCTATCATGGACTGGCTTTGTGACCTTGGATACTTTCCATATCTCTCTGTGCTTTGGTTCCTCATCTGTAAAATGGACATGACAATAGTTCCACAATGTTATTGGGAGGGTTAACTAATTTAGTTGATATCCATAAATTAATTAGAACAGTGTTTAACCTATAGTAGGCACTAAATAAATTGTAGGTCTTATTACTATGTCATTTGAACTTCTCAACAGCCCTACAGGTAGGGTAGTTATTGCTTCCATTTTACACATAAGGAAAGAGACTCTAAGAAATAAGCCAGTAATTCACAAAGCTGGAAATCAAAACCAGAGCTCCTGGCTTCATCTCAGTGGTGATTCCCTCTCCTCCCAAAAGTCTGTCAATTGGCAAAACAATTCTCTTTGAAAAGTCAACACATAAAATGTGTAGGTTAAAGTGTTTCATGAAGAGAGACAGTATTGTGACATGTAACTGACTAACATAGTGAAAGAAACTAAAAAAAGCCAAAGGTTTTATTTTTAAAGATAAATGAGTAGCAAATCAGCTGACTTAAAATGAGAGAGGGCTTCCCTGGTGGCACAGTGGTTGGGAGTCCGCCTGCCAATGCAGGGGACACGGGTTCGTGCCACGGTCCGGGAGGATCCCACATGCCCCGGAGCGGCTGGGCCCGTGAGCCGTGGCCGCTGAGCCTGTGCGTCCGGAGCCTGTGCTCTGCAGCGGGTTGGTTAGAGTACCACAGTTTACATCAGGTTAAAACAAAAGATCACATTAGCAATTGCACAAGCTTATATTCAGTAGTTTATCCACAGAGCAACATTAATAAGCCAATTTTAGAGAGTCTGATCAAACTGTTACTGTAAGATAAAAGAAGCATGATATTTAGGGGTCAAGATTTTCAATGCAGCACACACAGAAAACCTATATTTATTCTATCACCAGCACTTATCAAGGAATTATTTTATAGTTTTTATTTTTTTAATTGTGCTGAAATATACACAACATCAAATTTAGCATCTTAATCTTTTTAAATGTCCAGTTCACTGGCATTAAGCACATTCATACTGAAAAACCATCACCACCACTCATTTCCAGAACTCTTTCCATCTTGCAAAACTGAAACCTTGTACCCACGAAAAAATAGTTCCCCATTCCTCCCTCAGAATTATAACTTTTAACTCAAATAAGTTGTTTTTGTTTTTGTTTTGGTTTTGCTGTACGTGGGCCTCTCACTATTGTGGCCTCTGTCGTTGTGGAGCACAGGCTCCGGACGCACAGGCTCAGCGGCCATGGCTCACGGGCCCAGCCACTCCGCGGCATGTGGGATCTTCCCCGAACAGGGGCACGAACCCGTGTCCCCTAGCATCGGCAGGCGGACTCTCAACCACTGCGCCACCAGGGAAGCCCTCAAATAAGTTTTTTAATCAGGATCACTGTCTTTCAACTACTTAGTTTTCTTTAAAACAAAATTTACCACAATTTAAAAGCTTTTCAAGAATTCAAATATGCTGCAGCTCATTCTAACTAGAAAGTCATACTCAGTCACTTCAGGTGTTTGGAGACTGTCCCCCATCTAACGCTATGCTGTTGTTTTTATGGCCCTACCCACAATTTTGATTTTAGAACGTCAAACAACAGAAGACAGCTGCTTGTAAATCCAGCCCAGATGACAAGGATAGAGGTTTCTAGAATCCACCCTAGGAACAGTTTGTCACTTGATATCAGTGTCATTTCCACTGAAACAGGATAAAGCAGAGGAAGCTTCCTTCATACACACAACCCAGTGGCTATCCGGTCAGTCTGGAAGAATGTGCTGGTCACCCCAGCCTACACCCCACAATTACGCCTTCGAACATGTTTGCCATAAGAGGCCGTGTATTCTAGTTGCTATCAGAGCCCTCAAAGAGACTTCATAACATCCAGTTCAACAGATAACAAGTCACAGAGAGACACTATTCTTTGCACACGATAATGAATTTTTCATCTCAGGCTTTTGATGTGTAAGGACATATATTTAGAAGGAAAAGCTTTTAGTACAGCTAATCAAAGAAAAGGGGATTTTTTAAAAAGAAAAATTTATCAGGAGTTTCTTCAGGACAAACAGTGTGACCCAGGGCTTTGTTCCTGGAGATGATGTGTGTTTGAGGACAACGGAAACTGCCTCGGAGTCGTCTGATTGCCCCCTCCCGTCAGCACAAGGCAGCTCCTTACAAATGGGCACCAGCCTGCTGTACAGGTTGTGATGAAAACAGTCAACCACCTCACATTTATTTGGCCTCATGTGGTTCCCCCCGGGTATCATTTCTTCACTCTGAGCTTTGCAGATGCTCCTGTTCTGCTTGCTAATGACATTAACAGGAGTGTCGTGTCTCATCTATGAGCTGTGGCCATTTTTAGCAAAGCATTTGGTCTGGAAAGCTCCAAATTCACCAAATATATACATGCAAAGGATTCCTTTAGTAACAAACTATTCGTACTAGATTTGACTTTAAAAAGAACTGAAGCAGAAATATCCGTGTGTGTGTGTGCATGTGCATGTGCATGTATGTGTGGGTGTTTGAAGGGAAAATCATGGAAATCCACCATTGTAAAAAGCAGATATATTATGAAGGGAAAAAAATTTAGCTGTGTTTCTGCACTTTTGAAAGTCGACTTTCTCCCTGTAATTATATTAATATTATGTCAAGTATGGTATCTGTATTTCAGCCTGTGATCTCTGTTTGTTGATTATGTACACAGCACTTCAACTCCCATACCTTTTCTTAAGGGAATTAGAGTAGCCTGACCAGCTTGCCTCTCAGGTGAAGCTGGCCTCCTCAAGCCCGGGCCACAGTCATTTTTTCCTGTCTGCTGGCCTCAAAGATTCAGTGAAAATAAAAACATCAGAAGCATCTCAGTTCGGGCAACACTCCTTGTGAAATGTTCACTTTAATGACACTAATGTTGTGCCCCTTGGTGTGCCATCTTATTGTGAGACTTAATCAAAGGCAAAAAAAAATAAAGATGTCTGGCTTGGGTGCAGGTGCTTCTTTGTTGGAGTGCTTCCTGGGGGTGGGGGAGTGGTCCACAGTAGTAGGGGCTTATACACAAAGGCTGAGCTGCCCAGGGTCTGGGTGTGTGTTTTTGCATGGGTCCAGAGGTTTGCTCTGTATGTGTGTGTGTGCTTTGCATAGTCCCATATATATGGACCCCAGGATTAAGACAGGAAAAAAAAATATATATATATATATATATATATATATATATATATATATATATATAGTGCATGTGGTGGGTGTGTGAACACATGAATGTGCACTCACATGTCCATGTATTTGTACATATGATCTGCAGAGTCCTTTATAGCCCTGGGATTCATGTGCTCATTATATAAAAGTGTCTTTTATTTGTGGCCACATGGGGCCAACTGGGCTGCCTGTGGCCCTAGACACTGTGTATGGGGCCAACCACTTTTATTCAAAAGAAAAGACAAACCACTTAACCAAAGGGCCAGGCTCACAATGGTCACTCGGTTTGGTAAATGTTTTTGAAGAAGAAGGGAGAGAAGAAGAAAAAAATTCCAAAGAATCTCGAAATTAGGATTTTTTACCTTGACGTGGATGTTAGGATTTAAGGGATGATAATAATTAATCATACCTCTTCCCTGATGGGTTCTGAACCCACTGAGGAGCCAGATAGACCTAGATCAGCAGATCTGAAATGATCAGATTTATTTCCAAAAAAGGCTGCCTTGGAGAACTTGCCTTGACCTCTGACAGAACTGACTTGCCAGCCAGAACCCCAGGTTTCCTTCCAAAGGGCAGAACCTCCCTGCTGAGTTTATGGTTCAAAAGGACTGAACTTTCACACATCATGACCCTCTTCCCAGCCAGGGAAGGGGATGGAAAAAAGGACAGAGGCTTTCTTCCCAAGTTTTCCATTCTTCCACAAGGTGGAAGTTCCTACTTTCCAGAACTAGGCAAATAAATAAATAAATAAAACAGGAGAAAGAAAATAATTTTGCTTATGACTCCAAAGATTTTGTTCTCTTAACCTGCTAGGCTTAAGCATCCAGGTCAACCAAGAGTGTGTGAAGAACTGTGGAGTCCCCATAGGGGAACAGATCAGCGGTTCACCAGGACACCTTCAGGTATCCCACACATCATAGTCCTCCACCATCTGGTCCCTTTCCAAATGTATCTCTATTTCTCCCCAAATCCTCTTCTTCCAGCAAACCCAGACCTACATACCCACATGAATTCCCATCTTTCCACTTTTACATGAATGTCACATCTTAGATAAGTTAAACTTAGGAGAATTCAGCCTTATACAATCGTTCCACCACCCTAGTCATTCCTCCATTCCACTGTATGGCACATCAGATATACACAGATTGTGTCTCCTTTCGAGTGACGTTCACTCCACTGCTGACTATTCTTCCTTCTCAAACCGAATACCAGCACCTCAGCCTCGCTTTTGTATCAACTTAGCTTGGGCATCAGAAATGCAGATGCAGTCACGTCTCTGTCTTTCTCTGTCCTCCAGGAAATTGAGATGGAGCTTAGAGACACCAAAGAGGTGGCCACAGAGGCAAAGGACCGCCTCCTTGTCCTGCACCAACCTTTAGTTGCCTCATTCTCGATATTACAAGCATCTTGCCTCAACAATTTGACTCTAGTGGTTAAAGCATTGCTATTTTTTATTCAACACCATCCCAAACACAAGCCAACTATAGAAATTTGAGGGGTGGAAGAGGCTCTGTGGTCCAAAGAAATAGCAATCTGTGCTAACTCTGCAGGGAAAAGTGATTGTGCTGAGCTTGAAGACAGAAGGTGCATACACACCACAGAGTCAATACAGGAGCCTACACTTTCTTGTCTATTTAAGGGAGTTTTAAGAGTAAAATCTAACTTTCCATGAATTTATGTTTATATGCCCCTCTTTTAAGTGCAACTCTTGCATAAGACATGACACTGCCAGGCCTAATGCAGTGCCCAACACAATACCCTCTTTGTTTCAATGCACAATTGAGCCCCACCTACTCCTCAGTGCTGCCTCTGACCACTGAGGCCTCAGTGATCGCTCCCTCCTCTGGGCTCACTGGATACCGGTATCATTTTCCTGGAATGTAATTTAGCAACCTTGTATCATTACCCATCTCGTTTTGGGTGGTGTATATGGACACAGCCAATCTGTCTGATGGCATTATAACCCCTGGAAGACAGGGACCTTATCTCTTAGTCTTTGCATTTCTAGCATCCAGCCTGAGTAAATTCTGCGTAAACATATGGGATGTCGATGAATTAATAAAAATTATCATTCTTTGGAAAGACCCCGAAGGTACTAAGAGGTCCAGGTACCAAGAAAAATGTTTGCATACTCTGTCCACCTAGAGTTGCCTGCTCATCCTTAACAATCCAGACCAAATGCCAGCTCCTCTTCAGTGTCGTTGAGACAAACACAGGCTTTGGCGTCAGCCAGAGAGAGATTCAAATCTTTTCTGCACCACAACTGGCCGAGTGACTTTGAGTGACAAGTGTCCTTGAGCCTTAATAGAAGTTTCTACTTCTATTAAGTGGAAATAGTGATAACCACCTTAGAACCTTAGAAGGCAAGAATAAAATTAAATAACATATGGAAGTGTTTTAAACAAGGTAGATATGGAAGACAAGGTAGACATGGTAATTATTAATATTTTCTTCAAAGTCCTCACCTCTGTGCTCCTACCCCACTTTGTACCTGCTGCTGTCACAATCCTTATATACTGCATTGTGAATATCTGAGTCAACATCTGACTCCTCCACCAGCTAGGCTGGGAGCTTCTTGAGGACAGGGATTATTCCATCTTTATGAGCACTCACTTACAGCCAGACTCTGTGCTAGGCCCTCTACATACATTATCTCATTTAAACCTCACAACAAACAACAATTATCCCCATTTTAAACATGAAGAATTTAATCCCCACAACAACCTACTATTATCACTACTTTAAACATGATAAAATTGACTTTGGAGGGTTTAAAAAACTTGCACACAAGTTCACACAGGTACAGGTAATGGAGGTGGTCTCTGCACCCATGTCACTGCAAATCCAAGTCCATATGCTTAATTGCTTCACTATGTTGGAACCAAGGACATCTCAGCCATCCTTGTGTCACCCCTCCAATACTTACTAGCATGTGAGTGGCATGAATAAACATTTACAAAGTGATTATTTAGTAAATAAAGAGATTGTGATTTCATATAAATGATTATCTATGTTCCACCTTCAGGTGATCCTACATCTGGAACACTGCCTGAGACATGATTGCAATGACATGAGTAACTTTTTCAGAAAAGGGCTCTAAATTTACCAGCTCCTGTTTCATAGGAGGCACACATTTAGTACATAAAGGAAAATCATTGTTTATACCCCAAAGAGATTCTCCCATAGGTCCGGAGGGAGGATGTTCATTGCAGCATTATTTGTAAAGGCAGGAAATTGCAGTATCATCACTGGGACAGTAGAAAGGCAATATGTGATAGATGTTCACCCTGGGGTACAGCCATCATAGGAATGGATCATAAGTGGACAAAGAAACATAGGTTCTTCATAAAGGCAATGCGCTGAGTGAAAGACGAAACAAACTGAGATTTATAGCTGTGCCATTTACACAATACCATTTACATAAATTAAAAATGCATATACGGGCTTCCCTGGGTGGCGCAGTGGTTGGGGGTCCGCCTGCCGATGCGGGGGACGCGGGTTCGTGCCCCGGTCCGGGAAGATCCCACATGCCACGGAGCGGCTGGGCCCGTGAGCCATGGCCGCTGAGCCTGCGCGTCCAGAGCCTGTGCTCCGCAACGGGAGAGGCCACAACAATGAGAGGCCCGCGTACCGCAAAAAAAAAAAAAAAAAAAATGCATATACACAAAGCATAGTACACATTCCAGTGGTATGGCTGGTAATTAAGAGCATGATTTAAGACCTCAGCTGCCTAGGTTCAAATCCTAACCTCTTTGCTTAGTCGCTGAGTGACCTCAGGCAAGTTACTTACCATCTCTGTGCCTCAGTTCTTTCTTCTATTAAATGGTGTTAATAAAGGTTCTTAACTCATAAGATTGTTATGAGAATTTGATAATAACACATAAAGGGCTTAGAAGAGAACCTGGCACACAGTAGGTTCTATACAGGTGTTATTTACTATTACACTTTTTAGAAACACAAAGAAGAAATATATATGAAACACATTAGAATTACTGTTTATAGGGAATGGAATGGGAATGGGATAAAAAGGAATAAATTCAGACAAACAACAGGAGCCTTGCATGAAACAGCAATGATAATTTACCTTGTATTCAGAAGTATGATTAATCCTCTTCGATATACATTTTTCTTTAAAAAAAAAAAAAAAACAAGAATTTACTAACCAAGCTGTTAGTAACCATTTGCCTTACTGAGTTGGTAAGTGATTATTTGCAAGTCACATTTGTGGTAAGTCAACCATTCAAAATTCAAAAACTTCACTCTGAAATTAGGATCCACGTATACTTAAGATATGACTACAGCTAAGCCCAGTCCACACCACTACCCATTCTGAGCCAACAAAGCCACTGGATAATAAATAAACGAGCATTTATTAAATGCCTACTATGTGAAGGACACTGAATTGGCTATAGTGAAACAAAATAAAGTCATGAATGTAAACTTTAAAATATAAAGTACTGTTTAAGGGCCAGTTGAGCTGTACCAGCTACAGCTGGTGAAAGTCATTTTAAACTACTAGCAGCTGGAGTATTAGAGAAAGAAAGTATTCACAGAAGAAGTAGGAAACAAAGCTAACCCCATCAGTTGCTTGAATAACTTCTGTGGATCTCCTTATTAAAAGATGCTTCAGAAACAACCTATGCATCCATCAATGAATGAAAGGATAAATAAAATGTGGTATATATACATAATGGAATATTATTCAGCCATGAAAAAGAAATAAGAGAATCTTGCCATTTGCAACAACATGGATGGACCTTGAGGGCATTATGCTAAGTGAAATAAGTCAGACAAAGACAGACAAATACCATATGATATTATATGTGGAGTCTAAAAAAAAACTGAGCTCATAGATACAGAGAACAGATTGGTAGTTACCAGAGGCAGGGACTAGTGGCGGGGGTGGGTGAAATGGGGTTGTCAAAAGTTATGACTTCCAGGGCCTCCCTGGTGGCGCAGTGGTTGAGAGCCTGCCTGCCGATGCAGGGGACACGGGTTCGTGCCCCGGTCTGGGAGGATCCCACGTGCTGAGGAGCGGCTGGGCCCGTAAGCCATGGCTGCTAAGCCTGCGCGTCCGGAGCCTGTGCTCCTCAACAGGAGAGGCCGCGGCAGTGAGAGGCCCACGTACCACACACACACACAAAAAAAATTATGACCTCCATAAGTCATGGGGATATAATATACAGCATGTGACTATAGTTAATAATGCCGTATTGTATATGTGAAAGCTGCTAAGCAGGAGGTCTTAAAAGTTCTCATCAGGGCTTCCCTGGTGGCGCAGTGGTTGAGAGTCTGCCTGCCAATGCAGGGGACACAGGTTCGAGCCCTGGTCTGGAAAGATCCCACATGCCGTGGAGCAACTAAGCCTGTGAGCCACAGCTACTGAGCCTGTGCGTCTGGAGCCTGTGCTCCACAACGGGAGAGGCCGCGACAGTGAGAGGCCCGCGCATCGCGATGAAGAGTGGCCCCCGCTCGCCGCCACTGGAGAAAGCCCTTGCACAGAAACGAAGACCCAACACAGCCAAAAATAAATATAAATAAATTAATTAATTTAAAAAAAAATTCTCATCACAAGAAAAAAATTGTAACTACTTATGGTGATGACTGTTAACTAGACTTACTGTGGCAATCGTTTCATAATGGATACAAATATCAAGTCATTATGTTGTATACCTAAATCTAATATAATGTTATATGTCAATTATACCTTAATTTTTAAAATTTTAATTAAAAAACGGTATTTTTTAAAGAGACACTTAAGCCACAAATCAGCTAAGAGCTACACATGAAGGGAAGACTCGTAACAAAATAACTTCAACTGACCTTGGCCTCCAGATTAACTAACACCTCCTGATATCTGGTACTACAATTAAGATTGGTTCATTCCCTAAGAGGTGAGCCAGCAATGCACTGTGGACAGCAGATAAATAGGGGGAAATTATTATTACGGAGATTAGGGGAGGGGAGAGTCCTTACACCAATTTCTTTTGAATCTTATCAAATCATTAATAATTACTAAACTCTCAGTAATAAGATGCAAATGCAAAGTGATAGGATTATGCTGTGGGTAAAGCATTTTTTTTAATTTTTAAAATACACGTTTTAGTACAAACATCAATATATATATATGTATGATTCTTGTGCTATCACAAATGATCCCAAAATCTAGTCTAAAGAGAAGTCTTATTAGTGTATGATTACTCTCATCAGGATTCTTAGCAATTCTAGACTGCCATGGTCCAAAATGATGCAGAAGTTCAGAAATCAGTAACCTGTGCACAATGACACTATCTATGTCTTCTTCATTGGTGAAAATGTGAAATCAAAGCTTTGGCTTGGCCAGCCTTGTACAGGAAACCAATAGGCTTGGTTGTTTTCCTTACTTATTTTGATGGGATGGAATTTTTTAATAAGTTCTTGTGAGGAATTCATATTCCTTTTGGGCCTAGACTTTGTCTCCTAAAATATTCAGGTCCCTTTAAAGCCATGTCTTTCAGTGACCGTATCAATGATGAAATAATTCTTAGGATTCGCTTTTGCTGCAAGTGACCAAAAGCCCAAACAACAGTGGCTCTGAAAAGATAGAAGTGTATTCTGTCTCCAATAAGCATCGGCAGTCCAGTGCTGAGTTGGCAGCTCCACAGTCATAAAGGACCCAATCTCCTCCATCCTTTAAGGAGGCCCACACCTTGGAGCCCAGATGACTGCCCTATGCAGTTCCAGCCATCACATCAACATTCCAGGCAGCAGAGGAGGAAGAGAAGGAAGGGAGCACATAATCTCTCTTTAAGAAAACATACGGTATATGGCACACCCCACTTCCCCCTCGTGGCCCATCATCCATGGCCACACTTCCTACAAAAGAGGCTGGAAAATGATGTCATTATTCCAAACAGCCATGGGCCCATCTAACAAGGGATTCTATCACAGCAGGAGAAAAGGAGAATGGATTTAAAGGATAATCAGCAAACTCAGCCACACTATTCCCGAGTAAAACAACCATTTTTATTTTTATGCGTTCATTTCCCATCTTGGGATAACTACTCTGGTATACCATACATTTTCCAAATGTTACTTTTTCTGCCACAAGGAGAACAAAAAAAGGAAAATAATATTCAACTACTTCTAGCATTCAAGAGATATCAGGCATTGTGTTGGTGCTTTCACATTTGTTATCTCATTTAATTCCCACAACAAGGTATTATCCTCATTTGGGGAAATTAAGATTCACAGCATTGATATGTGAAATGGGACTATTTTAAGCTTAGAGCCTCTCCTAGTTTTCTCCCCTATGAAATGTATTTAGCTAAATTCTTTTCTTCCTTAGAATTTATCAGCAACCCCTATTCAACTTTCCCCATAACCAAGACCTTTTTTCTGAAGCACCAGTTAATAAATCAGGATTCTGCATTGCGTCTGTGGAAAGGTAATTACCAACACTTGCAACGTGGAACAGAAATTCTCAAACGTTTCAGTCTTTGTTTTAAGTCATGAATTCATGTTCTTCATACCCCCGTTATTAACTGGATGCTTTATTTTACCGTGTGCTGTTCGGAAGTACCACGTAGTGTTATCAATGGTTCTAGTGCCACGTAACGTTGGGATGGATTTGCCTGGCTTCCACCCCAGAAAAACTCCCAACTTTCAAGATTACTCCAGCAATCCCTCCTTCCTCTCCACTCTGGAGTATCATCATATCACTGGGACTTTCAAGGCAATTGAATTCATAATTGTAGCAGAAGATATTTATTGAGTGTTTCATATGCGCCAATGATGTGGAAATGATCTATGAGGTAGAAAGAATTGCTATAATTATTATTATCCCCATTTTACGGATGAAAACACAGGACCTTAGAAAGGCTTAGTAACATGCCCCAATTCCAGTAATCACTATGTAGAAGAGCTGGGACTTGAACTTGCTTCTCTTTGACCAAATAGCTCATACTCTTCACCTGCCTGCAAGGAACCAGGTACCAGCTGAGGTGTTGACAACACAGCAGGTGTGCCAGAATTGGTCCCTGTCCTCAAGGAATCACGGTCCAGTGGGGTAAATGGTGCTGTGCCTTCAATTACACTACACTGAGACAAGTTCTAGGACTGCCCGAGACCCGCTGTTGTTGGTGCCAACACAGAGGAGTAGCTAATCCCACACTCAGAATGTAAGACCCTGCATTGTCTTCTGTCTTTTATGTGTTCAGCACCTCTCTACCTGGGGACCAGAGTCTCATACATCTTTGTTTCCTTAGTCCCTAACACAATTCCTGACACATAATAAGTGTTCATAAAGTGGCCCATGCTACAGAACCAGTACAGCCCAGAATGAAGTGTGGGTACCCTGACAAGTAAGACAATCTAGCACTAAATCCACACTTTCTAGCTGAGATGCTACCCACCCAGATTTACACCAATTTCATTTTTCACCTAGTGGTATTAGAAGACACGTGAACTAGTTGGACAGAAAAATCCCAGAGTGAGCAGCAGCTAGACTGTTTCTAATCCCTGGGCCAGCTTCTGGCAGAGTGAGAAGGAAAGACATAGGTCATGTGATTGAGGAAGCAGCCACAAGGCAGAAGATTTCCGAGAAGTGGGGGAGACCTGGAATGCTCAGGACTAAGGTTGTTTTCTTTTTCAAAAATGCCTGTCAACTGTTTAAAAATCCTCTGTCCAGGCTTCCCTGGTGGCACAGCAGTTGAGAGTCCTCCTGCCAATGCAGGGAACATGGGTTCGTGCCCCGGTCTGGGAAGATCCCACATGCCGCGAAGCGGCTGGGCCAGTGAGCCATGGCCGCTGAGCCTGCGCGTCCAGAGCCTGTGCTCCACAACAGGAGAGGCCACAACAGTGAGAGGCCCGCGTACCACAAAAAAAAAAAAAAGAAAGAAAAAATCCTCTGTCCAGCGGCAAAGATGAAGACATTATGCAATGACCCAAGTGGACATTTGAGAGAACTGGAGGTCAGTTCAGTAGCAAACTGGAACAGAAATAGCTAAAGTGATAGAAATACAATTGATCAACTGATGAAGTCACAGTGCTTTAAGTCTGCACAGTGAGCAATTTCAGACAGACAAACTGAGAATTCTCTGCAGTTGCAATGCCAACTCAAAATTAAAAAAACAGCAACAAAAAAAACA